GATGCCGCCTATTTCTCAGTTGCTCAGTTCACTTACGTAGTTTTTACTTCACTTGATGAAGTTTCTGATGTATTCAGAGAATTAAAGTTAAGTTATATTAAAGCTCGAATACTGGGCACACTCGGCTATAATCAAGTTGCTGAATTGCTGGTGAGTGGCGAGCGCAGTACCGATTTGTGTATATTGGAGAACTTTTTGCACTCAAGTGCCTCACAACTCACCGTTTATGGACTTTTTCAATTGCATTCCACACTCAGTGATGGACAACTTGCCGTTCTGTTTCGGAACAATCATTTTAATACACTCTACAAAAATAAAGTTTGTTTTGAGTTATTATCCTCATCTTAAAGTGTTCAAGATCAGCTTAAATTTGCCACAAGTCATATAATTAGTCGGTGAGTTCTGTTTTGATTCAATTAATGAGCGGTGGACGCATATTTCAGGATGAATTATACGTGCTCGTGACAGATCAAGGTTTCATTAATGAACCATCGGTTGTGTGGGAAACGCTGAACAGTGTGGATGGTAGTTCGACTTTCGTGAACGCTTCATTTTCTAAATCGAAACCAACAAATGCAAATGAGGATTCTGAGTTAGTTCTTAAAGCGAATAATTGTGTAATCTGGAAGTAAAAATTTCATTCACATCTTTGAAATTCCATTAGTTCAAGAAATTGTCACCAATTCATCTCTATGATATAATTCACCGGAAAGAAGTGATATTTTTTAGATCGTATGAATGTTGCATTCTTGCATCGATGTGGAGATTACTTGAAAATTGGTTATTTTGAAAGTAATTCATTTTTCAGTCATTTGCTGGCGTTAGCGTTACAACAAGAGGAGAATAATAAACAGGAGCAGAATATCAANATTCATTTTTCAGTCATTTGCTGGCGTTAGCGTTACAACAAGAGGAGAATAATAAACAGGAGCAGAATATCAACACGGCAACTGGGTATATCAGTTGTTTTGTTGATTTTGAATTATTACTTCTATTTTTTGTGCTGCTTCTTTTGTTGTTGTCTAATTTCACGACGTGTCACGATAGTGTCAGTCTTGCAGTTAATTTTTTCTATCATTTCACTTTAGCACTGGTGAAATGTGAAATTTTCTCAACTATTTTCCGCGTAATCCTCTAATTTTTTTAACATTTCAGGACTAGTAAGACCAAGAAATCATCTTCCTCGTTATCATTGCATTCAAAAAGTGGTAGTACACCTGCTCAAACCCCATCATCAACTGCCTCCTCATCAAAGCATTCCACAAAATCGTCGAAATTAGATGAGGTAAGGCATCAAATATGATTGATTATTTTTCATATTTCTCTTTTTCATCTCGTATCCAGTGTTTGCCAAACGCCAAAACTGGTTGAATGAGTTATATTTTGAGAAGACAAATGTTTTGTACCCCTTAAGATTAGTAAAATCACAAAAAATTGTCGCATATGCACTCGTTCGAATGTTTGGGTTCGTTTTGTTTTTTGCACATCATCAGTGACTGAACTGATGGCTTATTTACTCATTTGATTCGTTTGGTGACATTCATTTGGATATTTTAGTGCGCAGTTTTATGATGTAGTAAAGTGAATAATGGAGAGGAATAATCATAATTTGGTTCATCATAATACACATCAGTTGACTGATGTCTTCATCTCATTTGTGGTACCATTTGGCAAATGGCTGAGCTAAGCATCGTTCTTGTCAACTTGTCACGCTTCCACAAATCGGTTCATGTCCACTATTGCATGAATACATTGATTTTATGATGATGATGGTGATGATGATAGCGCGGTATTTGATACCCATTTGGGCGAGTGGAATTTTAGAAATCGGTGATTTCAATCGCGTTCATCCTTTATGAATTACTTTATGTTGGAGATCGACACTGTCTAGAAAGGAATATTCAAAATTCTTTCATTGTTTTTTGATTGATTGTGTTTCATTGTTAATCTGTTGTGCGTTTTATGCGTGCCTTAAAATTATTGCTTGAGTTCAGTGATCAATGTTCTAAGCAAATGGATCAATGTTTCTATTCGTTTCCTATTCACATTTTCCTGTCGTTGATAACTTCATGCAATAAATTTTGTAGGAAATTATTCAGTTTGCATTTTATGATGGAATAGCATCTGCATTCGAAGTGTAACACGACCATAAATGAATTGATGTGGATTGTCAAGGTGATCGTGCATCTTGAGACGTCTTTTGACATTCGTATCCCAATCAAAAAACATTCATGTTAGAGGTGGTGCATCAATATTGTTGACATATTACTTGCTGAAATGGTAGTTCGTCCAGCAGATGTCATCGTAGAAGGAACTTTCAATCAGTAAAACTTCTTTTCGTTCATATTCCATCAAA